GATATTATATATATCAGTAAGTTAACTCAGAGTTGTGTTTAGTGAAACTCAAGAGTTTGTTGAACCTCCAGCTGCTGTCTCATATGTAAATATAAATACTGACAATAATAAATAAAGCAGGGTTTGGATGAACAGATATGAAATCTTGGACATCAGATTTATTTCAGATTTTATTACTGGCTGAGCTCAGACTAGCCTTTAGCTCGTCAGTCCTGTCAGAGCTCAAAGAGCTGTCTATAACATATCACATTTTATAACTTTTACAAAGTTGTACTTAGTCCTACCTTTTCAGGGTCTTTCTTCTCGCTATCCATCAAGGCTTCGCCGGAGCTGCCCGGCACCCCTGACRACCCCACAGGCATGATGGGGGGCGGAGTCTGTGCGCAGCCGCCACCCATAGAGGAGTGCAGGTGAGATGGTGGAGTTTTGGTGCAGCCAACTAATGGGAGAGAGCTGTGGAGGATGAATTGGGCCGGGCTCAGACCAGGAGGCGGAGGGATCTGTGAGGATGAGGAGGCAGAGGAAGGAGGAGCGTGCTGCTGGGACTGGCTCTGATTGGCCTGTGAGAGGATCTGCACGAGAGAAACTACACTGATGAAGAGGACCTTCAGATCTGTCAGATCAGCTTCTCTAACCTAACAGACACAGCTCCATTCCTCCATGCAGACAACCTGTGGAGCTGGGACGTGTTGAACTCACCTGGCTGGTTGCTTGAATGAACTCCTGTGCTTTAGCTCTGCTGGCGATATTAGCCTCCTCCATTTTGAACAACAGAGCAGTAACTGAGGGGAGAAAGGTTAGGATGGAGTCACACAGGTCAACTACTAGGTGAAAATAACTCTGAACAAAAACAATCACTGATTAAATGTTTTTTTATTATTACTTTTGTCAGCTATAAATGATTTAATGACCTTTGTTGTACAGAAAAACATGACAGATGTAATTATTTTTCTATTGAGTTTAATTTGTTAAAATCTCTCAATCTGAATTTTACTTGATTTCCAGTTTTTCCCTGTAAACATTAAATATAGAAGATCAAATTTTACAGCTAATGGAAATAAGGAAAAATAAAAATCTACCATCAATGGATTGTCCAGGGAAATAGTGATAAATTCATCAATTGCAGATTATTGACTGTATTTGACAAACATTTCAAACTTCATAAGACCTACGTAATTTGTCTGTTAAACTTGAAATAAGTGGTGAAAAGACAGCGGTTCAGCAGGGAACAGATCTGGTCCAGGCTGAAGTTGGTTCTCTTCATCTTGTTCAAGTGGTTTTCTGACCATTTCTGCTGCCTCTGATCAGGTCAACCTGATCCGATACAAAAGATACAAGAGTTTCTCCTGGAGCCAACTTCAGATTTTGAACTTTGTTTATAAAATCAATGAAGATCTCCATGAAGAACACCCTGTCCTCAGCTGGACTTCCATAGACTCAGATGGACCCTCATGGATTATACTGGACCCCCATGGAGTCTACTGGATCTCCACAGACTCTACAAAACCACAGTCTTGCAACCACTTAATTCAAGTTTTTCAGATGTCCATCTGTCCAACACTGAACTGGACAGAGTCTCAGCTGAGGAGTCCATCTGTCCAACCCTTGGACGTACCTGACAGGAAGTTGGGTGTGTTACATTGTGTTCAGGTTTGTTTTTTATTTCATCTACAGGTAAAAACTCTTGAAAAGGAAAGTTTAATGAGCTCAAATAAAGTTGCAAATATTGTCTAAAAGACTATTTATTTTGTCTGATGGACTTCAGTCACCCAACCCCTTAAGAGTAATCAGCTTAAAAGAAGATTTGAGAGTTTGAGTTTTCTTTCTTTATCTCCTATTTCTGACAATGACGAGTTTCATTTTAATTATTTATTTAATTATTTATTAGCCATGCTGTTGGTCATTTAAACCTACATGTTCATTCATTTGAAACTATGTTTCCACTGTTTTTATTATTGGGAAGCTGTGGCTGAGTGCTGAGGAGAATCGTCCTCCATTGAGAGAGCTGACGGTTCAATTCCACCACTATGCAACCACATGTTGACGTGTGACCCATTAGTGTTAGAATATAATTTAAAGCACTTATTAGTTTCCAAAGAAAGATCTATACAGATTAGCTTTGTATAGAGATATAGTCAAGTGTTGTGTAGGGTTGGCAATGTTGACAAAAAAAAAATGATCACGATTGTGTCTTTTAGCCGATAATGATTAATATGATGATTAATTCCCTGGACCCTGCTCACATGACAGATTTAATTTGCTCCATTAAGAAATATATACCGGTACTCTCTTTAGGAATTTGTTCCAATTTGTGTCAAAAGTACAGACCAAGACTTCAAGCTATTCACCAGATTTTAAATTGTGTTGATTGACCAAGTAAAACCTAAGTTATGATTGATGTGTGCACACACACTCATCCAGCCTGTGCTGCAATGGGCGGGACAGAAGTGGAAGGAGGTTCTTAAAGAGACAGAGGCCAATTTCAAGGCGTTTAGAAACAGATATGATGAGAAGATGTTTATTTTCTATCTAACCATAAAAAACAGCATTTTAATAACTGAAGGTGACATAGTTACTTTATTATGGTATAGAATTTAAATATATGCCTGAGAAACACATAATATTGGCCCTTTAAATTTGGGAAAATCGATTCATTGGGTATGAGATCAATTTTTTCCCATGGCGTCTTGTGTGTCATGAAGCTGAGGAGCGTTTCTATATTTAGGGTCACTCCTGGCTTGCCGTATGTTTACGTCTGGTTGACATTGAGTGATAACGTTAGCTTCTAACAAGTTGTCTTGGGCAAAACAAAAGAAACTGAGGAATCACTAACATTACCAGCTGACTTTGCAGAACTTAAAGATAACTGAAACTGTGGCAACATTTGTTTGCAAAGATTTGCGCTCGTACGTTGTAGAGGAAAACAAAGCAGGTTCGAACCAAAACTACTGTGTGTAAACATCTGACTGAACTGTTCTCCTCAGCTTGTATAAATGTGTGAAATACGACATTCTAACAAAATAGTTTAGGTTTGTTAACAATATTATTATTTTTAAACTTTAAACGTCTTAATGAAATTCACAGCGATGAAATGTTGTATCATTTTTCTTTTTTTGTTTTAATAATTCTTATTGAACATAACAACAGAAGGTAACAGAAATATGACAAATATAATATTCAGTTTTCATACGCTCAAAAGGAGTGGGCAGAAGTATACTTATATTAGCCCACCTCTTCTCCTGCAACCTAATTCCCATCACTTCTTATTCATCAAAAAATAAATAAATAAATAAAAATTCCTAAAAATGAATGCATTCAACAACACTGTCACCTGCAACTCCTTTATAATTTAAAACTTTTTAAACTTGACAGTTTTGTTTAAAGATTAAACTCCAATTTACATGATTGTCCTTAAAATCTGTTGTTTATGGTGAAGAAGAAAAAAATAAAAGTGAATTTGTACTTTGCAACAGTTGAACCATTTTCATTATTTAAGAGCAGACTGAATTGAATCGAATTGTGATTAATAGATTCAGAACCCTATTAATTGAAAATGAATCGATTTAGAGAATTAGCCATGATACCCAGCCCAATTTATGATATTTAGTGTGTTTGGATTTTAAATTGATGGTGTAGTTTAGTGTGTAAGTCTTTACTTTAGTGTCTGAGTCAAAACAGTCATAGGTGGAACTCCAGCTTTTTGAGATGGAGGTGGAGCTGCGGACAGATGCACTGAGCCACAGTCAGAACTTTGGGAAGAAGTTGATCCATTATTTGGATTAGAAGAGTAAAGAGAAGAGAAGCATCAAGTGGACAGAGTCCCCCTGCTGCATTAATCATAGCCTATTAATCGCCAAGTGCCAAATAATAATAGTCAAAAGTTTTTCTGACAATTGCAAATGATATGATTTTGTCCAACCCTGGTGCTGTGTTGAACGGATGAATGAGAGCACACAGATTGTAGTGTAAAGAGCTATGAGTATCCTGGTTAATAGAAAGGCCATACACAAGTACAATCTATTTACCATTATTTGTATTTTGTGGAACTCTTCAAACATCAAAGTAAATTTACAACATAAATCTGTGTTTTTCATTTTAGTGGTAAAATCAGTTTTGATGAGTTTATTTTTTAATAAATCAGTTGTTTTGATTGCGTATTTTTATTAAATTAGTTGTTTTGATATGTTTATTTTTTAATAAATCAGTTGTTTTGATTGCGTATTTTTATTAAATTAGTTGTTTTAATATGTTTATTTTTTAATAAATCAGTTGTTTTGATGAATTTCTTTTTTAATAAATCAGATGTTTTTATTATGTATTTTTTTATTAAATTAGTTGTTTTAATAAATGTATTTTTTAATAAATCAGTTGTTTTGATGAATTTCTTTTTTAATAAATCAGATGTATGTTGCCTCCTCTGACTTGTGGAGTGGTGTAGTTGTAAACTTACGGGCTAGAACACCTCCGGTTGTGCAGTCCACACCTGTCTGCAGACTCCAAGGCAGGGCGGAGGCTGGTGGAGGCGGGGGTGGAGGAGGAGGTGGTGGCAACTTGCTGGCAGATGAGGAGGATACGGAGGAAGAGGAGGAGAGGTCAGATGAAGACAGAGGCAGAGAGAAAGACGTGAGGCCTGCTGATGAGGACGAACACGGAGGTGAGGCCAGACTTTTTGAAGCATCATCTGGAGGCGGAGCCTTGGCTGTTGGTGTCAAAGCAAGGTTCAGACCGGCTCCCTGATGGGTGGACAGGCTGGACGGGCTGGAGGCTGGGGCAACGGGGCTGGTCTGAGTTGGGCAGTCTTCAGCTAGGAAAGACGGGTCTGGGGTCTTGCAGCTGCTGTCCACGGTCTGAGAGTCTGGGGAAGACTCCCTGGTGTCTCGCAAAGGGGCCGTGGATGGTGGAGGTGAGTGTGGAGGAGAGGTGGAGGGTGGGAGGGCGCTGGTGGAGGAGGATGTGGAGGAAGAGGACGAACATGGAGGAGGACCTGCTTGGACAGTACTAGGACTAAGAGACTTGCTCCCTTCTCCAACAGCTGACTGAACATCTAATGACCCCCCAGCCCAGCCTTCAGAAGAGGGTTTTGATTGGCTGCCGTCTCCAGCACCTCCACCTTTTTTGCTGGTCTTCTTGGCCAGGCGACGGCGGCGCTTTGTTGCTAGAGACGAGGAGGGTGAGGATGTAGAGGAGGAGGTGGAGGTGATAGAACCGGTCTTTGTTTTCTTGGATTTCAGAGCTGCAGAAGTGGATAGGGACGAAGGGGGTGCAGCCAGGCTGCTCCTTTTCCCCAGACTGCTCAGATCCTTGCTACGACCGCCCAAAGACAGTGGCTCTGAACAAGGTTTAAGGAATGGTGACCTGCTTTCATTGTCCCTGCAGAAGACTACTGCTATCGAGCCACCCACCACTGATCCCCCAGCTCCCCCTCCTGTGCCCCCTGAGCCTAGAAGGTCCATGCTCAACTTCCCAGAGCCAACAGAAGACCCTGTGGTGCTGCTCACACCCTCACGCACCAGCACAGACACTTTGGACTGAAGCTTACCTTTCCGTCCACTGCCACTGTCTTTCTTAGGTTTGCCAGAGCGACTCAAGTCCTTTCTGCTGTCTTTGTCCCGGTCTTTGTCCTTTCCTAGTTTCCTGCCTCTCTTAGCTGAGGAAAGGCCAGATGAGATGGAGGTAGAGCCTGAGGTGACGGTGAGAGAGGAGAGGCATTTATTAGTGGTTCTGTCAGACGATGAGGACGACTCAGATTTCTTTAGTGTGTGGGACTTCTTCTTTGGGTGGTTCCGTCTGGTCTTGGGTGGAGCTTTAGTTTTAGGACTAGGGACAGGTGGTTGTGGAGGAAGAGCAGCAGGAGGTGTGTCTTCCAAAGAGGGGTAGTCCGAGTCCAGAGCTTCACCGTCTAAAGAGAGCATGTCGATCTCTAATTTGTCAGAGTAGCGGTCCGACTCATAACCATGATACCTGGATGGAGACGGCGACTGCGATCGACTGCGATAACTTTCCTGGTTCTCTGCATCACCAGAGTGCCATTTTCTCTTCTTCCTCTTATGAGAGTCATCAACCTGTGTGGGATGGGAGGGAGAGGCTTTGGAAAGCCTCGGGGAGCCAGGTACAGTGGTGGTGGTGGTGGTTGTGACTGTAATTGTTCTCTTGATGGCAAAAAGGTCAGACCCATTTAGGTCTTGGATAGATGGAGGGACCACAGGACGACCGTCCCGTCGGTGCCCCCTCTCATGTGGTCTCTCTCGATCCCCATCTCGTCGCTCCCGACTCCTCCTGGACCTTTTTGAAAGTGCTCGCTCTCTGCTTCTTGAATGTCTGTCTGTTCGTTCCCTCTCTCTCTTTCTAGAACTGGAATCTCTCACCCTTTCATCTTTTCTATGGCTACTGCTACGATGATGGTGTCTGTCTTTGTCTCGGTCTCTACTTCTGCCTCTTTCTCTGTCTCTATCTCTGTCTCTGTCTTTGTCTCTGTTTTTGTCTCTGTCTTTCTCTCTTTCCCGCTCCTTCTGTTTTTCCTCTGACTGGCTTGAAAAGGAGCGTCTGGAACGACCACCTCTCCTAGAAGAGTTGTGGGAAGCTTCAGGGCTACTGTGTCGTCTCTTCTTCCTTTTTCGACTGTTGCTTCTGCTCCGTCTGGTTTTAACCTCCTTCCCAGCCTTGTGTCCATGCTCCTGTTCTTTGCTCCTCTCCCTTTCCCCTTCCTTCTCTTTTTCCTTCCTTCTCTTTTTCCTTCTGCTCTCCTTGTCTCCAGCCTTTTTGTCCTTGCCTTTCTGTTGGTCGGGGTCAGTGGAACTCTTGGAGGACTTGTGGTTTTTGTCGGTTTGCTCCACAGGAAGGATGGGAGGGGAGGAGGATGTAGAAGCTTGAGGAGTGGAAGGAGGCAGCGGTGGCTCAGAAGAAAGAGGGGAAGAGATAGGAAAGGAGCGATATCGCTCCTTCCTTCGACTGACCAGCTTTCTTCTCAAATCCTCCACTCCAACTGTGGGCTCATCTTCAAGCTCCCTGTCATCCTCCCAGGTTCCCTCAGTGCACACAGACACAAATCCATCTCCATCGAGCACACGGAGGATGCGCTCGGGTTTAGAACCAAAGAAAGAAACCCGGGGAGAATTTGGGGACAGGTCTTTTTCAGCAGGTCTCTTGATATTCCCATCTTTGTCTACAGCTGTGACTATCTCCCCCTCTTCTATCTCAGAATGATCAGAGTCACCGCTCTCCTTCTGCCCTTCAGCTTGTGGAGCGCTGCTTTCCTTTCTCCTCCTCGGAGGGAGCTGGGTGGGCCGACGGGGGCTCAATTGATCTGTCAAGGTGTCTGTGGAATCAGGAGGTTCTTCCTCTTTATCCTCATCCTCTACCTCAACATTTGTGTCCATTTCTCCCTCTTTCCCAATATCATCATCCACATCTGATGCCGGAGAGCCAGTGGGATCGAATGGGTCATATTTCTCCCCCTCTTCCTCTTCCTCCACCCTTCTCTCTTTATCTCCATCAGTTGGACTGAAAGGGTCATAAATGTCCCCTTTTCTGTCATCCTCTTCACAATCAACACTAGACTGCATTGACACGTGAAAGCAATCCACAATGGTGGAGTTGAAAGCAGTTTGTCTGGTAAAGAGCGATGAAGAGGAGGACACCCTGGCTGCCTCCCGCTGACTGTTTACATGATTCTGATGAGCCGACGTGTTGGCACAGAAAGAGGAGGACGTGGACAGCGGTGAGGACGGAGCAGAGGAGGGAGACGAGGGAGATGAGGAGGGCGAGTGGACAGGAGGGCTCCTGGTTGTATCTCCAACAGGGGAGGAGGTGGCTGAAGGCCTCCTTTTGAAGACTGGACCTGGAGTCAAGTCCATGGGCCAGGAGAACCTGTGGTGTATGTCAGCCAAAGACACACAAGTAAAACAGCTCCGCAACAAACCTAAGACACAGAAAACAAGTTAGAACGGTTTGGTCCAACAAATGTAAAAGTTTCTAATCAGGAGGAACATAAACAACCACCTACAGACAACTAACTGATCTGAGATTTAATTCATTTACACATGAGAAACAGCATCTCGGTTATATAAATCACCTTCAGACTCAACGGTTTTCATAAGACTTTAGATCCTGCTGCTTTCTCAATCATTAAGCAAATAAATAAAAGAATGCAAAATGCACTGGCATGATGTACTGTCCGGACAAATTACATTACTCACCACCACCACCAAGCTAAATAAATTCTCCAGCTTTAGTAAATGTTGACACAGTGTTTTCACCAAGATTTTAAAGAATATGTCTCTGTCAGTTAGTCCAGTCACACACAATAAAACCTGTTTATCTGAGCAACACAGATCATGTCTCCATCTGAACTGTGGGTTGGCAGGACGTTCTCAATGTTATTCATAAAATAACCTGATTATTAAATAGAGCTGAGCGATACGGCCTAAAATCAATATCACAAAATATTGACCAGTTCACCTCGATAACGATAAATGCACAATAACTCTTACCACCCCTCAACACACACAGGTACACGGTATAGTATAATCATAACACTATACACTGTGTCCATGTTCTTAGTCAAAGTACACAGTTTAGATTTTGAACAGCTTTACTGTAGTTTATATTTGTCATTTCAGTGTTTTTAATATATTTAATAAAAACATTTTTGGCAAGATTTGAGTTAGATATAATCATACAAATATTTAACCATCTCCATAACTTTTCAGTGCAAACACACACATTATGTACTTTAACTTTTATATTTTAAAAAAATATACCAAATATGTCTTTTGTACTGCACAAAATAACTTAAATACATCTTTTTATTTGTTATACTGACTTGATTTCTCTATTAAAATAACTATCCTTTCGAGCTCATGTAATCATTTACTACAATTTATTCTTCATATTTGGTGATTTATTGAATCACAGAGCAGTTCAGTCACAGTGAGATTCTAAATATAAGCAAACTATATTGTGAAGAATGAAATTTGTAGATATTTATGATAAACTACATAGCGGGAACATAGTGTGTTTATGATAAACTACATAGTGGGAACATAGTGTGTTTATGATAAACTACATAGTGGGAACATAGCGTGTTTATGATAAACTACATAGTGGGAACATAGAGTGTATTTTCTTTTTTTGTGGGGTGGGGGTGGGTAACGCTAAGTGGAGGCTCATTTTTACTACACAAACTAATGTTATCTGTTAGAGTTAATATTGTTTAATTAGAAGAACGGAAACAGCGGCTCCCTCATAACAATTCAGCCTGTGTGCACCTTGGCTCGCTCCTGTAACAGCGCTGCCGAGGACAGGAGTTTGGTCACGTGAGCAAAGTTGGACATACAGTATCTGTTAGATAACGACTCTCTGAACTCATAAACTTATAGTGTTAGATTTTAGATCCCAACGTCTCTGGTAGGTCAGGAGAGAAATGTGGAGGACGGGGTTTGTTCACTCAGGACAGGAGCTGCAGGCTGACCGTGCTCATCCTGCAGACTGCTGCACTGACATCAGAAAGACCTGCCCTGTAGGGCTGGGCAATATTGATTAATTTGAATTTGCCATTAATAAAGATTTAATTTTGGCAAAATCAAGATTTTTTTTCCTCACCAGTGCACTCTTTGGGGCTTCTGTAGTTCAGAGGTCACCCCACCTGTCCCTCAAGATGCTTGGTACATGACATGACAATATGGCAGCTAACAAAGAGGATCTTCTCAAAAAAGGCACTGTTTCTTCAGTTTTCTGGAACTGGTTAGGTTTTGCAACTTTGGACTTGGAGCAACGAACACCTCACTGCAAAATCTGTTTGAAGGCTCTTGCTACAAAAAGCAGGAGTACAACAAATTTGTTTCGACACCTGAAACAGAGGCACTCTGTTAAGTGGGAAGCAAAATCGATTAAAATCGAAAATTGAATTTAGGATGAAAAAATGTGAGATTTTTTTGGGGGCCATATCGCTCTGCTTTTCTCTGATTGGATAAAGCTGTGGGGTAGGGTTGGGTAATATTGGCAAAAAAATTAATCACGATTAATTATGGTATTTAGCTGATAACGATTAATTTGATGATTAATCCCCTGGAGTCCCTGGACACCCTCATGTCCTAGTCACATGACCAATTTAGTGGGAAAGATTTGATCTTCATAAAAATCTGTTCCAAATTGTGTCAAAATTACAGAGTTCAGGCTGTACATCAAATTTTAAATTGTGTTGATAGATAAATAAATTACACAACTTTTTTTAAATATTCATCATATTTGAAGCAGAGAGGAGCAGCGAGCAGACTCTGCCTGGTGGCATTAATCATATTAATCGTCAAGTGCCAAAAAGTAATCAATTACCGGTAATATTTTTCTGACGATTAATTGCACACAATACGATTATGCCCAACCCTACTGTGGGGTTCGTTTGATTTGTTGAAAGCAGCGTCTGTTTAAACCTGTATCAGACTGGGCGGCTTTAAAGGGATCCCTGATTAGTTGTAACATTAGACTTTGTTTAATAAACATATACTTTAACTGTAAAATGAAGACTGTAAAAATGATGTAGGCTGTTTAGTTTTTATGAATTTTAAACTAAAACTTTAAAAATATATTACACGGATGGGGCCATTTTATTTACACACAAAGCATTCTGGGTAAATGATGACGTGGATAGGTCCTCAGTGCGAGGTTGCTAGCGAGCTATATCCACCCTGAAGGTTAATCTTGGACAATATCTGATGATCAACTCTTTAAATGAAACCAGAGAGCGTTGACAGAGAGGAGAAGGTAGAAATGACTCAGCCTGTAACTGAAAATATGGATGGAGAACCTCAGTTTAGCTTGTTTGTTGCGCCAGCGCTGAGCTAATACATATAAGGCAATATAGCGTTGGTGCTAAAGCTAACAGGCTAAGMTGAGGTTCTTCTTCCATGAAGCAGCTCTGTTGTCCTCCATCTATATTTTCAGTTACAGGCTGAGTCATTTCTACCTTCTCCTCTCTGTCAACGCTCTCTGGTTTCATTTAAAAGAGTCGATCATCAGATATTGTCCAAGATTAACCTTCAGGGTGGATATAGCTCGCTCACATTGAGGACCTATCCACGTCATCATTTACCCAGAATGCTTTGTGTGTACATGAAATGGCTCCGTCCGTATTAAAATATAATTTTAAAAATTATAAAAACTAAACAGCCTACAGTATTTTTACAGTCTTTAATTTACAGTTAAAATAAATGTTTATCAAACAAAGTGTAATGTTACAACTAATCATGGATCCCTTTAACGAGACCGCAACAGAAAACAAGCAGGTTTTTCTTTTCCTCATTCATACTGAAAATACTGACATGGGAAAAATGATGTTGGTTATTGTCATAAATGTCGGTATCTGTTATTTTTTGGTTTATCGCCCAGGCCTATTATTAAATGTTAATTACATGAACCACCATGTTCATCTACAACTGGTAAGATATTTGTTGTTCAGAACTTGTACACTGAACCGCACTTTAAAATATCCCAAATATCCCTTTCAGATTGGCAAGTACTCTTTATAAATAATTTGTATATTTCAAATAGAGCAAATGCTAATTTAAGAAAAACATGTCTGAAAATGTTGTAATGCAAAACTTGATCATAATAACTGTAGTTGATATGGAAATAAGTAAATCTGATGTTTATATTTGTCAACTGAAGATAAGTAAGACACTTTAACTTTACAGCAACAGAACAATGATAAGACTTGACTAGTCATCTAACTGAGAGATGAAAACATGAAGAGGCACTATTCTTTAAAACCTGGGACTATATGTACCCACACACGTATTATGAGTAGCAGTAATGGTCTACCATACATTTATATTAAATATACCTTCAATTCAGTGACTATCTGCAGCACAAGGAGTCTTTTGAGTTTTATTCGTGACTTATAGACAGCTTATTAGTTTGATATAACTCTGTGTTGTTCAGTGACTGCTTCCTGTGATTCATTATTTGTTATAAATCTCTGAATCTTTCTGATTGAGGAGATAACGTCGCTGAATGCTTGAATCAACACCTTCACATTTCATTGAATGCATGTACAAATTATTTACGCATTCGGTTTCGTGTGAAACATAAAACGTTTCTGTTAAATAATGTTCGCAGCAGGTTTTCAGCTGCTAGCCACGTAGCTTTTTAAGCTAACAGTTGAGTGACAGGAGGCAGCAGTAAAATAGTCCGTGCGGATAAATACCTTAAGTCCTGCGGTCTTCAGTCTGAGAGCAAACCCTCTGTTTGACACTCACCCTCAGCTATTTCTAAAACATTAATCCAGACTATAAAACAAAACATTTACGGCTTTAAACCGCTTCAAAAGAGCAGTAACCCTATTCCATTAGTCACCGCCATTTTCCTCCCCCGAAGCCGGACAGCAGGGAATGATGGGAAATTGAGTTTTTTTTTTTGAACGGGGGTCGTTGCTCCAGGACAGCTGTAGACTCAGTGAAATAATCGACAGAAACAAACTTTTATTATTTTATGGGACACTTAAAGTTAAATATAAACCTTTTTAGGCTGAAAAATAGTCACTTTACAGTAACCTGGACCTTTTACTTTGTAATAAATATCAGGAAATAGTATAATTTATGTATGGAAGCCAATTTTTGCTACACTGATTAAAAATCTATTTTATGTCATAACATCCTGCCCATATTTAGTGCTTTTACTTACTTTTTGTCTCCTAAATATACATATTTCCTACAGCCTATACCATGGACCCCAGCTGGGTGCCTTCCTTGCAAACCCACAAACAATGTAATATAACATGTTTTAAACATTTTTATTTTTCCATCTGAAACAAAAAACATCTTTTCAGCAAATTCTTGATGATAGGAACAAAAGTAAACAAACCTCTCTTAAGCTCTCCTAAATAATGTTTCAATATATTATTATAAATAATATTTTAAAATGATTGAAAAACTGATTCAATTTCATGATAATGATTTAAAACATTTGTTGGATTAAATATTTGTATTTTTTCCCTCAGCTTTCTGAGGAAACTTGTTTAGCAACTTTTAGGACAGCCATTAGTGATTTTTCTTACTGAGGAGTTGGCAACAGTGGTCAGCGGCTCAAAATCTCAAAACTTGAGAGCCCTGTTTAGTTCAAAATTGTGATTTAAATAGATAAGGTTATGAGCCATTATTTCAAAATTATGATTAAATTATCTCAAAATTGTGTAATTCTAAGTAACACAAGATGCTAATTCATATGGAACAGTAAGGCTTTTTCTTTTAAACAGTTCTGTGAAACGGCTGAAGTTAGGCTTCCTCTGTCAGCTCGTTTATCATCGATGGAGTCGACCACATCCAGCGCAGACATGAGCTTTCAGAATTGAAGTCAGCTTCACAGAACCAGAGAGATGTGGCCAGAAGAACTCAGCTGAAGTGAAGTTCAACATCTGCCTTATAGTTTTTAAAACATGACAAAATAACTTACTGGTTACTTACTGAATTAAGTCTAGTTACTGTGCCTCATCATCCATATCCTCCTGGCATTAAATCTGTTTGTTGTTGTTGTTTATTCCTGTGAACTGCTGGTCCAACTGATGCTATCACTTATTGATCAGTGGCAATGGCTTACTTTTTTCAAGACTGCAGTTTCAGCTCTACCTCGCTTCATGAGACAGAAGTGCGACAGGGCCGGCTCCACACCACAGGGAAAAAAAAAAAAAGACATCTCAACTAAGAGCAAAACAGCACCATCTTACCAGCAAAGATGCACAGAGTGGTCCTCAACACTTTTAAACTGTACTTGTACACTCACCGGCCACTTTATTAGGTACACCTGTCCAACTGCTCGTTAACACTTAA